AATGAAGAATATGAAAATCAAACAAAACGTCATGTGGTTCAGAAATAAGGATAGAAAATAACACTGAAAAAAAGGAGAAGGTCATCAGATCTCTCAGAGTAAGCCTTCTCCAAGGGCAATGATCAGGCTATTGCGAACAGAGCACATCAGAAATAACCCTTCTCTTTCCCCTTCTTCAGTTTCACAAGTTTTTCTTTTGGGGGCTGGGGAAGACAGACTGTAGCATCCTTGTCCTATTTCTAGAAGGATTTTTCAGCCTTGAGAAAGCGCCTTCATCTCTCCATGCATCTGCTCCTCCTGTAAGGAAAGGATGGTATTTCCTTTCCTTGAGAGCAGTTGCTTGACCCTGCTGTCTAACAGCCACCTGATGCCAGAGCCAACAGCGCCATTCCCAGCCCCACCTCTGGCGACATGTCCTCACCCTATGCCACTAGAACCACAGTGACCACACAGGGACCCACTTCTGGGAGGAAAACTCCCACTTCTGGGAGAAAAAACAGGATGAGTAAGTAGCTGGAGGTGCCTATCTACCCACTGGTGACAGAGCTGGTTGAAGTTTAGCCACCTCAACTTAAGGTATCAAAAGGTTGTGTGAGATAAACCCTCCTAAAGCCTCTCTCTGTTGACCAGCTACCACTACCGCCCCTTCTCATTCCTCAGATAGCCTTGCCAGTGCTTGTCCAGCTTCCCTGTTTGTTCTCAAGCACTGAGATGGGGACTGCATGCTCTTAGCTCCTCAGTCTCATGGGCGTGAATCAATTTGGTAGCACCCTCTGATCTTCTCAGAAGATAAATGTTTGAGCAATAGTAAAGGCTAGGCTGGAGGAAAGAGGGAACAAATCTTTAAAACTGGATGGGAAAAATGTCTAAATGTTGAGGCAAAGATCATGCTGAGGAAGTAGAAGCAGCAAAAGGAAATATGTCCTTTCAGCTGAGGAAGGGAAAAGCTCCTCTCCGTCCCCTTGGATCAGTCTGAAATAATAAGGCTGCTGCCGTTCTGATTAGTGCTCTGTGGCCCCAGCCCAGGCAGGGAAAATCTGCATTTCAAATGGCATATTTTAAAGTACACAATACCCAGGGGCCCTGCTGCTATTGATTTGCCTCTGGTGGGGTCACTGCCTCACTTTCTACAGCTTTATTAACTGGGACCATACACTGGGCCTCTTTCAAAGTGAAAGGAGAGTGGGTGGGACATTTGTCTTCAGAGGGAGCTGAGGAAGGAGTGAAGTGACTTTTATTGGGAATGCCTCAGAGGTTTTATAAGGAAAACCGGTGACCCGTATAGGACTTGCCCTCTTTTTTTAAATTTCTCTGGAGCCACTTTGTGGGGAAGGAGGTAGGTCTATGCTGTCAGCTTCTTTCAAGGTGAATGAGTTCATGTCCTCCCACCCCCACAATGCTGCTGCACTTGGCCACACTGTGGTAATCATCCACTGGGCTAGGAATGACCTCTCTCCTCTTCCCCCTTAACGTCTACCCCTGAGCACCTCCAACCAGAGAGGGAAGGGCATAAACAGGAAATGTGACCACAGAAGGGTGGCAGGAATTTTGTCAAGGGTTGAGGGTGTCCAGATGTGATTGAGACATGGTTTGGGTCCCATCTCTATGCAAGTAAGCAAAGCCATTTGGCTGGGATATGTGGCAGTGTTCAGGTATGAGGTGCTATATTCCTTCCAGCTCTGGAGGAGACCATGGTTCAATCCAGAGGCTGGGTCTGAAGGCTGCAGCACTGTGTACGTCCTCTGGGTCATGAGGTGTTATATTGCAGCTAATTTCACTATGCCAAGGGGATTTCTAGGTTTCTAGGACATCTTGGGTATCTCCAGAGCACTGAGTATAGCAGAAAGGGAGTGGCACTCCCTGCAGAATGCTTACTCTAGCAGAAGCAACTGAATCTAGTTTCCCAAATCACAGGTCAGGGCCTTATATTTTCACTACATTATCTTTTTAACCACAGGCCAAATTCAACCTCTTCACTCCTCAAGATCCTAATTCAGTCCGTATGGGAGCATGGCCAGTTTTAAGTAACTGCTTCACTGGAATCCACCTGGCTTTAGGGTACAGACCCTGCAGCTTCACAACTAATCAGCAGATTGGGTCCATCTAGTTCTCCTCATACAGACAGAGAAAATACCTTCCGCTTTCTGAAGGTCTCTTACAGAAATGTATGAATGACATTACACTACAGAAAAGGAGCATGCATTTAGCCAAGTTATATTCTACAAACATGGATCTTCCAGTGCAAATTTGCCTCCTGAACATACAAGAAGCCACGTGCTCTAGTTACCTGATTTGCAAACCAGGAGGAGCACCTGCCATTGTGGAGTTAACTCTGAATAGCTTACAGCCATCTGTAAGAAGGAGAAGTTGTATAAGTCATAGTGTCATAAGTGATTACTGAGCTCTGCTGAGTGCAAAGTGGAAATTGTATTTGGAGCAGCACGATCACTTGTACTACCATTTGCAATGCAGTGTCTTTTAGATAGAGCCTTGTCTCGTTCACAGCACAGGCGAAACAAAACTAAAAGATGGATTAATACTTTTCTTTTAAATGGTTGGGAACTAAGGTCCAAAACTATCTGCTGAGGGCCAAGTAAGGGATGGGAATGATTTCATCTGACTGTTGGTATGTGCAGCTGAACCCATCACTTGGGTCTCCATTTACAGCCAGTAGGGAGAAACAAATCTGCAGTTCATCTACCCAGAGGCACTTGTGTACAGAAGGGAGAGATGAATGTTGGCCTAGACTCCACCGTCTGTCATCACATCAACTGTAATAGGTGACCAGCTCAAAGGAAACCCCTTCTGTGTTTAGTTGACTGAATCTGACAACAGAAAATGCCAAAAATGTAGTCCCCTACATGCCCTAGAAGGTCTCTGTACAATTTCCAGGATGATATCTGCCAGCCACACTGACTACAGCACCCATATGACCAGACACATGTCACTCTGTGTTTTGAGGTGTGTTTGTTCATACAGCTCTGGTCAGCTTTGGAGAAAAGAAAAAAGTTAGCAAAGGCCAGATGGGGACTATTCTCTGTCCTTTCAATTATGTCCATCTCAGAGATGCTTCTTTAGTAATCAGTGTTAAGGTTCTGTTGAACCTCACACATGATGGCCACCATTTCTGCAACCATCCACTTATATCCTCAGCTGTCCCCAGATGAAAACATCCACTACAGAAAATATATGTGAGACAGTGCATCTAACTGTGGAGTCAATCCAGTGTTAAAGATGGATGGATTCCCCCTTCCTCATTTGCTCCATTGGCATTACTTACTAAAATCATCTACTCAGTTTATCCCCTGGAGAATAAACTCAAATGATGCCTAGAAACGAATGTACTCCTTAAAGGGGAACCAGCATTGTGCTCTGATAGAAAGGATTGCCTAATCACTCCATCAGTAATTACAAAGAACAGGATATCACTAATTAAAATGTGAAAGTGTCTTATGTGGGGGGCATAATAAAAAAGAGTAATTAACAATCAAAGGGAAAGCCACCACCATGCCACCAATCTGCACTAGGCTCCAAAAAATATTAGTACTCAACTTTAGTATAGTACTTTTTATCTCTAGATCTGAAGGCTTTCCTGCATGGGGAGGCAAGTATCTTGTGTCCCATGTTAGCTCTGGAGAAACCAAGGCAAGTTTACACAACTTGTGCACGGTTGTCACAGCAGGTCAGTGACAGAGCATCCTTTATTTTGGTCTTTTTACTGATGATGACAAGGACAATTTCAGCATTTGAATGAGCACAGTGACTTCATGGATTTGTTTTAGTCTGTGTGTGTATGAACAGCTAATTTAGCTGATATTTCAATATTAAAGTGAACAGTAGGGAACAGTCTGTTCCTTGACGTGACTTTTGAGGTCTGTTTAATGCTGAGAAGCGTGTCCCGTGTGCTTAAACAACACCATCAGAGTGTGATTTCCTGATGGGAGAGAGAGTGAAATCACAGAGAGCAACAAAACAGAGGTACTCCAGCTCTGGAGACAGCAAAGACTCATTTCTACAATCACCATAGAAAAACAGTTTCTTTCCCCACTATTATCTTCAAGTCACACATTACCAGAGGCTGGGGAATGAACAGAGCGAGGTTTCACTCTCTGCTCATCCTTTTTCCCTCACACTTTCTCTAAGCACCCACGACCAGTCACTAGTGGGGGCTGGATAAGGACTCAGACTTACCTTGTCTGGCTCTTTGTACAGCTCCAGGGAAGGAGACAAGAGGCAGTGTAGTCCAAACATCCCTTTCTGGGAAAAAAATAATTAAGGAAGACGTGCCAGATCAAAACCACAAGACAGACTTTCCCACTACATACTATTAACCTTGCTGAAGCAGAGGAGCTCCTTTCTCTTGCACCACTCTTCCAGGAGTCCCTTCTTGGTTGTGTTGGAAATAGGTGCTATAATCTGGTTAGAAGGTTTGATGATGCTTTTGCTTGGTGTCCACTGGAGGCCTCCCAGCAGCATATGAAAAAAAAATAATTTTGTCACTGACAGATGGAATTAAATAAGTTTATCCCTAGAGAACCACTTAAGCTTGCTGCTCTGGAGAAAGGATCCCTTTTCCCCACCACTCCACGTACAGTGGTGTCTCATCAGCAGCCACCAGTGCTTTTCCAGAGCTTGGATACAAGCAATAGAAGCCACAAAACCTCTCTGCTCAGGATCATATAGTCTTTTCTCTGCTTTTCTCATAAGGGAAGTACCAGGGAGTCACAGGGTTGCATCCAGCTCATGGAAGACCCCCACCCTGGGGAACACATCACGGGGGTGGGGACCATAAGGACCCCAGGATGCGAAGAGGCACTTTGACTCTGGCTCCTGCAGCAAGAGGGAAGTCCAAAGCCGGGGGGTGCCACAGGCATGGCGAGCTGACATCCCCAAGCAGAGGGATGCCTGATACCCTCACCGGCTCCCCGTGCTGGTGCCGGTACCGTGAGCTGCCCTGCCAGTGACCGCGTGATATTTTTTCCCTGCTCTCTTTGTTCCAGCTGATGCAGCAGCAAGCGGCCATCATGGCGTCGGTGGCGCAGGGCGGCTACCTGAACCCCATGGCAGCCTTTGCCGCGGCCCAGATGCAGCAGATGGCGGCTCTGAACATGAACGGCCTGGCTGCCGCCCCCATGACACCAACCTCAGGTAAGAGCCCGGGGGTGGACAGGGTGAAGGGCTGAGGAATCTTGCCAGATCCCAAAGGAGACCTGGCAGGACAAGTCAGATGACAAGTTGTCCCCCAGTGAGTGTTTATTGAAATGTTGGTCTTGTTGGTGAAGGCCATCAGAAGTGAGAAGACCAGATACTTTTGTGGTAAGGGAGAGGGGCTGAGGGACAGAGAAAGGCTATTGCCCCTTCTCCCAGGGCTGGGGCCAGCTGCAGGTTGGCTTCTGTACCATGAAACAGGGCAAAGTTAAAGGGCTCATCAGCAGTGGGTTGTTGGGCTAGCTGTGCCCTGTGCCCAGTGGCACTCCCTGGTGGGTGAGGCAAGAAAGGGGGTTGAGAGTCAACAGAGCTGGAACATAGCGGGCTTGTTGGGTATGAGGAATGGTGCTAGCAAGGAAGGCACTGGAAAGGGCTCTCAGCCATGACCCTTCCCTCTCAGCTGTATCCCATGCACAGCTTTCCTTTAGCTCTGAATACCCTCAAATGTCACAAATCATCCCCCAGTGACCAACACTGGCTTATTGATCACTCACATAGAAGTCCAAGGGGCCAGTGTTGGTGCTGTCACAGCCAGGCTGCTCCAAAAACCATCTCAGCAGTTTGTGGTGAGATGTAGTATCATTAACAAAATGAGCTATGCCTTTGGGACACACAAGCCTTTGCACCACTGTGAAGTAGGACAAGAGGTACTCAGAGAGGACCTATGGTGCTATCTGGAATCTAAGTGTTTGGTGCAAGAGTTTCCAGCAGCTGGAGCAGAGACCGGTAGTCACAGAAGGGCCAACAGGATCTGGCTGGGCTGTGAAGTGTCACAAGAAGCCCATACTAGGAGTTGCAGTATATGATTCAATGGGCAGAGAAGTAAGCTGAGGTGGAAACAGAACTGTCTTTCCTGAAGCTTGAAATGCAAGGAAATGGTTTGGGCAGGAACAGGTCAAGGGACTGGCAGGGCTGGTAGTCACCAAGTGGCATGTGGCCCAGCAGTGGAGAAGTAGGGCAGCAAGAAAAGTGAGGCCAAACCACAAGCAAAAAGAAGTGGGAACAGCCTCCCTGTTTGCAGCTTAGTGTCTCTTTGCAGTCTGTGGCTGTGAGCAATGTCAGCAGCTCCTGGGTCAGATACCTACCTTTTGCTTTGCTTGTATTAAAATATGAGATGGGGGAAAAAAAAAAAAAAAAAAAAAAAAAAAAAAAAAAAAAAAAAAAAAAAAAAAGGAGAGAAAGACAGATCTCATTCCACATGAACTTACAGAGACCCAAGGAAAAGTGCTTGACTCAAAAATCTTACACCACACATTTTGAAATACATGTTTACACAACGATAAATGTATAAACAACGAGTCGATGGAGCTACTGCAAATCCAAATAGAGAAGTGGCTTAATTATATGTGCACCCTTTAAACCCACTGCTGGAAGATTATCATATTTGCATTAGCTAGATTTGTTTTGTGTTGGTGGGAGCAGAGAGAACGTCAAACAAAGACTGCCTGGAATTCAAATGCTCTCAGGGCCTGGAAAGCTGAATCCAGGAGGTGGTCTGTGATGGTCCCACCACAAAAGAGCATGAGTTTTTTTGCATACAAATAAGACTTGAGAACTAGCAAGATCTGTGACATAGGTGTGTAAATACCACTACAAGAGCCAAATTCTGTGCCTACTGTGGTATCCAGCACATTAAATAGATCTCAGCCCTTCTTCGGTGTAAGCTCTGTTCCTCTTCTGGTGTGCCTGGTGCCTTTTGGGGACTGTTAAATTCTTATTGTCAGAGTACAGGAGAGGAAAGCTCATGTTTTTTACATGCTTTCCAGAATACCCATGACTGGTCATTACTGAAAATAAGATGCTGGTTTAGATGATCCCTTGATCCCTTTCATGGTGGGCAATTTTGCACTCTCCTTATGACATATTTTCAATCACGGAGCCTATGCACTTTGGCATTATTGCAGGTTTACCCTGAATGGGTAGCTTCTTTCATGAAAAACCTCTATAAGGGGTTGTGGAAATGTCCATTGACAATTATTCCTTGAGTGATATGTTTAGACTTTGAAATGATTCCTTGTATTACTACAGTGCTCACAAAGCTTGTGATAAGATGCATAGAAAATGTTTCACATAACGTTTGAGCAAGCAAGCCTACAACACTAACAGCAATTTCTGAGTAGCCAGGAGATATCTGAAGCCTAACGTGAATTCTCCTGCTGGCTTTTGTTAGCATTCAGAAAGCCAAATGGAAAATGATCATTCTGCTTCATAGCAGGATTTCCAGTCATTGAAGTATATCTTTGTTCTGACTTGGAATGAAAATGAAACATTTCAAAGTTCTCTGAAAAACAGGCATTATAAAAAGTATTTGGAACACTGGGAGAAGGAAAAAAAAAAAAATAGGAAAAAAGAGAAAAAAAAAGTTTTGATCTTTTCTAAGCAAAGAAAATTGTGCTAGTAAGAAGACACTGGTAACCTAGAAGTCCTAGAGGTTTTGGAGTTACTGACTGAGCACAGTGCCTCTGTGCTGGTATCTTCAGGTCTTCTCTTCCAGCCAGTTTTCTATGCATCCCAGCTCCAGGAGAGTAGGTTCTTTGGAGCATGGCCCCAAGTTCATTCAGGCTCATAAGTTCCCATGGTACCTACCTAGGAAATTAAAAGTGTTTTGGATCCAGGCAAATCTAACAGACTGGAGACAGGATCCGTTTCACCTGATTTTAACCATACAAAAGTTAGACATCTAGTTTGACGTAATTATCTGACTTGCCTGCAGTCGATGGAATGCAGTAGGCAGTCCCAGTGAGTGATTTAGACCATAAAAATTTTATGCTGTTTGCTGGCATTTTGACAGTTCCCCATCAAGAGTCAGGCTGATCTCACCCAACAGTTCGTAATTACAAGGGTATTAAACTGACATCCCTGAAAGTTTGGTTCAGGTTTGGCATTTCTCCCATCACTGGTATAATCTGGGTGAAAAGTGGGTCTGTGGTGGGTTTGCCATTCTGATAACTGCATAGGGGAGTTAGAGAAGAAATTTGATTTAGGTTTCCTTCCTGCTCTTCTCCCTCCCTCCTTCCATGTTGTAAACCTGCACCTGGTGTAGCTGCAGCAAGAGATCTCAAACCAAGGATGAAATCCACAACTGGCATGCATCACTGCCATTTGTTGTCTGTGGTGGCATTATGCCAGTCTCACTCCAACTACAGATCTGACCTCTCCAGGGGGGTTCTTTATTAGAAGAAAATTAAAGAATTGCAATGAAATATATCTGAACTTCGTTAGACATGCACTAAATAGCAAGCACAAATCCCTTGCTGCAGCTTTGGAAAAAATTACTTACATTGTCTATGTAAATAAAGGAGAAATCCAGAAAAGCCACTGAAATTTTAACTAGCCTTTGTGATTTGCAAGCTTATGGCATATGCTAAGAGCATTGCCTTTGGACTTCAGTTGCCACTGCTGGCTCCCTGAACCCCCACAGAGGACTTTTTTAAAGGCCAAGACCATTTAAATAAGCAAAAGGGAAGCAGCAGCTTGTCTGCTCTGTGTATAAGAAAAGAGTTGAAATACTGCCTGCCTCTTGGGCTACTCAACTCGGAACATATTAAAACATCTCATGTATCAGTGTTGGCTTTCTTAGAGAACCAACACTGATTTAAGCAGTCACTAAATTGTGTTATTGGACTAACCCATCACAAAATGCTGCTATGGTGAAGAAAATTTCTGCGATTTCTTTAAAGAAGAGTACTAAAAAAATAGTGCTTTCAGTCAGTAGTATACCCTGACACAGAAAGACATTGCTGAAGATCAGATAGTTTAACTTCCCACTCATAGCTAGCAAGAGAAAAAATATTCCATGAAAGAAACAAATCTAGACCAAATTTTGCCCCTGTTGAGTGGGAGATTTCTGCTAAAACTCTGTAAAGTTAAGTTTGGGCCAAACAGTGACACACTAAAAAAAAGTGTCACCATCTGCCTTTAGGCTGCCAAACCTTTTATGGACTTCTGGTGCTGAGAAAGTTCATAATGAGTTTGTACATTAAATTTGTATTCATAAGAGAGTACAGAGAGAGTAGTTCCAGAAATTGGTATGCCCACAAAGCTGACATCTCCAAGAGAAACTGAGAGGAACTGGTGCAGAGAGGTGGGACTGAGAATTTGCTTCTGGTGTTAGATGATATCTTGGAAAAAAAAAAAAAAAGTCTGCTTATTTAGCAATTTAAACAGGTAATACTACAGGGGGAAAGTTAAGAAGGAAGAGTGATATTTCTATAGTTTCCTAATGCTTGATGTTAGCTGTGGATCTAGCCTGGAGACCACAACCACCAAGAAAAAGCTTCATTCTGTTGAAGAAAGTTTAGCAAGCCTCTCTTAAGAGCTTTCCAGAGAGGAACAAAGGCAATCAGGATCTTTCTTTGTACTACAGCTTGGGATATTTTTCACTTCTTGGATTATCAGAATGTTTTTGTGAGGTAGTCATAGCTGTTGCATCACAAGTTTTCTCTGTGTAGTTATTGGTTCCAGTACTCAGCAGCTCTGATTTTGTCTCTTCTGCACTTGCAGGTGGAAGCACGCCTCCTGGCATAACTGCACCAGCTGTGCCTAGCATCCCTTCTCCAATTGGGGTGAATGGCTTCACCGGCCTCCCGCCGCAGGCTAACGGGCAGCCCGCTGCAGAAGCCGTGTTTGCTAATGGCATCCACCCTTATCCAGGTAAGTCAGACCAATGCTGTGCCCACAACCTGCTCCGTCAGTCTTAGGGAGACTGTTCACACCCACAGACTTCAGAACTTCAGCCCACACCACCCGGACTCACTGGTGTTGTTAGGTCTTATCCAGCTATAGTAGTTATACACTTAAATCAGAATTATAGACATCAAGGAAAATTGTTGTGCTGAAGAACTGAGTGCTGATCTGCTGGATGACTTGTGCAGTGAATACAGGCTGGACACCCAGCATGTTTTGCTTTAGCTAAAATTTGTTCTGAGGCCTGACCAGTTCTTGCTAGCAGATGCCACAGTGGTACCTCCCAAGGGTCTTGCTCCTGGTTACCCTTGAAGGAAGTGTGTTAAGCCTGTTTGCAGCTTGTGGCACCAACTGTTGGTATCTCTTGCTGGGATTCCCTTGCCACTGGGTAGCTCTGGAAGGACAGGTTCAGAAGGTCTTGGCTACTGACCCAAATTGCTCCATGCCTCAGACCATGTGTGCAGGCAGCAGGTGTTGGTCTCCAAAATGCTTAGTGCACCCAAATCCCACTGCCTTACCTGACCTGGAGGCTGAAGCTCCTTTAATATAGACACAGAATGGACTCAGCTGCACCATTTTGTGACAGCACCAGAGAACAGCTGTTGGGATTCAGACTGTGACTCCCTCAAAAGATGAGCTGAAGGAGTTATTTTGCAAGCCCTGACAGTCTGCGATGAATAAGAGAGGTTAAAGGATACATGCCTCCTTCTATACCTGTACTTATGAATATATCTAGACACTCTGAGGCTGTAATCACCAAGAAGTCAGGACTTCACAAGTCCTGAATGTGCACCTACATTTATTCATCATCCTCAGGGTTTGAGATAGCCCTCTCCTCCAAGCTGTACTTCTTCTAGGAAGATGTTCCTTTCCATTGTTGTGCACACACTAATAATAACAATCAACAATATAAATTTAAGTGAATGTTACTAATTGATCCTAGCCACTAGCTAGCAAAGAAGTATTTAACTCTGGGGCACTTATAGATTGATCTAGTCTGTTAGGAAATCAAACACTTAGATGCTCCAGCCCCACCAAGAAAAAAAAAAAAAATGAGAAAAAAAATTCTTTCGATCTCAGCCAGTCATGAAAATTCAGAAGATTTAACATCACAGGGGACTTTATGAGCTGCAAGGAAAAATATCATAACATAGAAATACAAAAGTCTTACCTACATATAGTTCAGATAGCGTCACTGAAAAAAGCTGCCCTGTGAATGCAGCAAAGGAAACCCCAGAAATACCAAGAGCATTGTAAAATAATTATCATCCCACACACACGCACACTTTGTAAACATCTAGCCATGAGTTCAACCTGAAGCAGAATTGAAATCCAGGGGCTTACTGTGTTAAAAGTTAGGCCTGTATATACATGTTTGTATCAGCTTAGAGGGATGGGAAGCTCTTGGAGGCTTACAGAGGCACCAAGAGATTTCAGGGAGCCCTTAATATGCTCCATGAGCTCAGACACAGCACCAAGAAAGCATCTTGTCTTTAAGGTTATATGAATATAGCTATCTGCTCAACTATCCATCTATCTATGTATCTTCCTGTTTGTCTGTCTCCTCTCTGTTTACTCATCCTTTTCTATGTTTATCTCTTTTCTGGTTTATCTAGCTCCTCTTAGCTAATCTTTCATGATCCATTACTGCAGATATCAGAGAAAATATGATCTTTCTAGATAAATCTTAATGACTTGGGGTTTTGTTACTATCTCCAGCTACTCCCATAATTAAAAAAGGCCTCTGCTAGGTATTTCATGTTAATATAAAAGTCAATGGCCCTAATCTGATTTTCTCTGAGTTTTGGAGAGACTTGCTCAGCCAGCAATTCACAGTAAGTCCCTGCACAAACACCAACAGCCTAACACAGTGAAAGGTGACAGTCATCCTTGCTCCTCTTCTCTGCAGGCAGATCCTTTCCGCTAGTAAAGCTGACATCCAAAAAAATCTGCTTTGTGTAAAGTTTGGATTTATCTCAGTGTGTCTCCAGCAATATATTGGTCTTTTTTCAGTGCTCAGCTTCCCCGTAACTTAGTGACATCTTAAGTTATAGCAGAGGTGTAAAGGGGCAGTGGCAGGCCAAACCCTCACCTCTCATTCTACTTCTTCTTGGCCTCACTAGCAATGAAACTCTGAAAACAAGATCCTTCGTAGCGGCTTCGGTGTAGGACACATCATGTGTTTACTCCATCTAACTACATTTATACTTTCTCCAAAGCTCTGCTCCTTGCCACAGGCTTTATTGAGTCCTGGAGCTTAGCAGCATTAAAAAAAAAAAAGGATTAGACATTTATATGGGTAATGAGAACAGCCACAGCTATATTAGAATGCATGAAAATGTGGAAAGGACACAAACCTTTATGCTTTATGATATAAGCCAGCCACTAATTGCTCGGGGTTAGAAAGAAATTTTCATCACAGGGCATTTTTTTCCATCATTGTTCATTATGGGATTTTTCGCAGTTTGCTCTGTAGCATTTGTAACTGGCATTGCCCTGTGGTTCTGCATGTCTGTGTTTCTAAATGCAAAAGGAGAAATAAAATATTGAAGCTGAACATTCAATTTTACTAACATTATAGGAGAGAGAACATGTCAGTCCGCATCCAAAGTCAGCATCTTCCACACAACTTCCTTTTGTGGTATAGCTCTCATTCCAAAAGTGGCTAGAATGCTGCAGTATTATGTACATAACCATAGGCTTGCTATGATTATGACTTGCCATATATTGTTTAAAGCCTGAATTTCACTCTCAGATACTCTTTCATACTCCACAAAAAAAACTCAAATGTGGCTTCACACCATTACATCCTGTAGCAGAATGTTTTTTGTTGCCTGAAAAAAAAAAAACAAACAAGACAATCAAAATCTATAGAGGTATGACATCCACATTGTTCAGATCCAAATAAATCTCATTAATTGTATAGTTTGTCTACAAGTCCACCTTTGTGTCTAGCTATAACATTTTTGATGTTTCATCTGAAGGACTCTAGAACTCCACTGTATTCTTTGCACAACAAAAAGAGGTCCATATCATGCAATTGTATTTATTCTGTAGTTTCATTCTTTTCAGGTTTGTGGGTTTGTTGTTTTTTTTGGTTGGTTGGTTGGTTTTGGTTTTGGTGGGTTTCTTTGTTTGTTTAGGTTTGGGTTTGTTTGTTTGTTTGTTTGTTTAAGGGTTTTGTTTGTTTGTTTGTTTGTTTTTATCTTCCCCTGTGTTCCTTTTTTAAGATTCCCATTGTCTGGAGCAGGCACACACACAGTATCATTTGAGTCAGACTACTGAAATGTTTTTGGCTTTGGGGCAAAGGCAAGAGCAGGTAAAACATCCTTCCTTGCCAGCTCTCTGATCACAGCCATAGTCCCTGCAGGAATCAGCTTCTTCTGTGGCTCTGGCCAGACTGTGGATCCATGCAGGAGCACTAGAAAACCATTCCTTGCAGGCATATTCTTAGCAAGCCATGCTCTCAGCTTCTCTAAGCTCAGCCAGGACATAATGCTTCACAGTGCATTTTTTGGCATGGACAAAATAACAAGGGAGTAAATATTTCCCCTTCTACTAGTCTGAGCCCCTTTGGAGATCTGACCTTTGTGTGTATTAATGCCTGCCCTTTAGTCTTTCAGCTTGCAGAGCTATTGAACACGGCAATGTGTCACAACATATTGTGGGGACAAAGAGCATAATCTCTTGTGCCATGATCTTGTGAGTCACTTTGCAGCAGCTCAAAAGCATTTGCCATTTCCACATTAACCATAGTAACAGGGGTTGTGCTCTTCTGCCAAAGCTTCTTAGCCACCCAGAGCCCAGTGCCTCTCTTGTAACAGTGTGTGGTGTGCAATAACAGTGGAGACCATCTGCACTGGTTTCTGCTTTGTCTCACATCGTCAGCACTCTGCTGTCTGCCGGCAAATTCTGCCCTACTGGATTGCATTGTGAGGAGCTGGACAAAATGCTCAGTCCAAAAATAAAGCCTCCTTGGGAAGAGGAAGGGAAGGAAATATGAGGAAGTGGGGAGAGCAAAGAACAATAAACAAGAGAGGGATTTGCTGTCAAAGGATCAGTGGAATAAGGGAACTGGAAGGAGGGACCAAACCATAGTCTTCTGCCCAGTGATGTACCCAGGAAGACACAAAAATACATCCCGTAGCATCCAACAGCTCTCAAACTTATCCCTCCTGAGCCAGGGAATACGCAACTCAACCAGAGCCAGGGATGGATCCAGTGGCATGTGTGCTTTGTATAGCCTCAGATGGGGAGTGCTTTCCAGGATGCTGACTTCTTCAGTGTGTTAGGTCTGGGCTTAAGCTGCTGGGGAAAACAAAAGCAAAGTTGCCTCAGATGCTTGTAGTACTTTAAAAATGTGTCATCTCATCTACTGTCCTCAGGCACACAGTGGTTCTGTTTCTGATCTCCCACCACTGCCACGACTAGCTCTATCTCATTGCTCTGAAGACATTGCAGAGGTCCCTCTGCTCCCCTTTGTTTATACTGTAGGTACATCTGGGCTAGCAAGACAGCAAGCTCCACTTCATAGTCCCTTTAAGGTCCAGCCCTCTCCAGTGAGGACTAGCTGTCAGTGCAAATGGGCAGCCAAACCTCTATGTCCACTTTCCCAACCCACCGCTGGGAGGAACAGTAAAGACGTCCCCCACGTGTGAGTTCCTGTGCTGCAGAAACTCATGTTTTAGGAACTGAACTGAGACCATTGATTCATTTTCCTTTGCTCAACAAAGAACTATCAGGCAGTAACCAATTTCACCCATTGCTAGCAGAGACAGGATTCAAACTCCTTCTGTAATTATTATCATTACCCAAGCTAATTTTGTAGAGAAGGAATTGCAGGCATGCTAATATGACAGCCTTATGCATTAGCTTGTCAATTAGCTAGCAGCACTGCTGATGGGCAGGCTGCTGCTCTGGACCCACCAGGCCAGGAGAAGTCCTGATCATGATATACACCATCCATT